GGGGGGGGGGGGGGGGGGGGTGTAATACACCACCAATAATTCAAAAGGGTCAAAGTTGGTCAAAATGGAACTAATACTTTCTTAAAATTAAAATGGAAGGTCGTTGGTAAAACTTGGAAGTTGGTAAAACTTGGTCAAAGTAGTTCTAGAGATAAAAGATGGTCAAAGTTATGAAATCGTTCGCAATTTTAACAATTTCTAAGCTTTGGTCATGTTTGCGCGGAAACAATTGCAAGCCTTGCTTGTTTTGATCGAAAAATATTTGAAGCTTTAATTTGCTTATGTTAGTCCGGAAAATTTTTTGACAACCCACCTGTCGACAATATTTTCGGGAAACATTTCTATCACTTGGTCAAAATTCTAGGAAAAACATGTTGGTCAAAATTATAACGACACCTCCCAATGTTGATGTCTTCACGACGTCCTTGGATGCGCGCCATGCGCTATGTAAATACGCGTATCTCGATTGAGATTTAGCTATGCATTTTGATTTACACAACAAATTTGCATATTTTTGCGGTTGAAGGACCGTCAGAACTCAGAAGGCTGCTTAATATCGAGGATAACCGATATAAATGCAGTATACATAGGATATAAAGGTCAGGTTTTAATTTATCAATGAATGTTAAGGCTTTTTTAAATATTGATATAGATTTACAATATTTTTAATTTTAGTATATGTCTATTTGAGTAACATGACACTGTAGTGACTGTAGTGATTAACACTAGCAATCCGTAATTTGATAAAATGAAACATCTTCCACGATTATCACATTTCTGCAAGTACTTCTCCTTTAGTTTTCTCTAAAGAGCGAGTTGCGAGTGAGACACAAAATAGCTATAATTGTCTCCCATTTCATGAAGTTAACAGTTAACTTTTTTGTTGAAGCTGCTCTCAGACTGCTGCAAATGGCGTTTCTGAGGTTCAAAAATAAAATATTTCCTGCGGGAAGGTCTCCAGATCCCCCTAGGTGCCTCGCGCTTTCGCCCCTCGCAAAACTCTAGATTGTACCTCCGAAAACTTTGACTAACGTATAAAAAATCCTGGATGACAGACGGGACAGCTCTTTTGCCAACAAAATTCATCTATTCACGACGAAAGCGAACTGAATGCTTCGTTACACTTCATGCAAACGTTCAAGCGGATCGGTGTAATCGTTAGTATGCTCATGCACGCTCATTTTTTTGAATATCTAACAATTTCATGCCTCATTGCTATGAATATGTAATGACATGTGAAAAGCAAATTCAAATCTTCATTAATGTTTTAAACTTGGCTTCCAAATCCCCAGAACCATGAACAATGATGGCTCGGCTGCGCCTCGCCATTGTTCATCATGGCACTTGTATTTAGAAACCACGTCTAACACACCAACTCGGATTTGAAATATTACTTCGCATAATTTTAATTTTTCTTACGATCTTATAAAACAACAAAATTTGCGATGCTTGCTTCGACAGTAACAATGGCTGATTTGTTGCATGGTATTTATGTACAGTATGTTGTACAGTACAGTATTTATCTTTTATTTTATATAATGTACACCATTATAGACCCATTATAAAGCCGTTCTTCAATCTATAGTGAGTATAGTGCACCTCAGGGCATTTTTTAAGAATTCGTCAGTGGGGGGAGGGGGGCATCTAGAAAAAGGGACCATACTATACTGACTGTGGAGAGATAATAGACGGTTGTTGGTAACAAAAAGTTTGGTGTGGTATCGCATTTAATAGTAGCAGGATCTGGGGGTCCCCCAGAAAATATTTGAATTTTTCTACCCCTAGGACGACTAGGACTGCAATTCCAGCATTTTCTGAAACAGATTTTTGGATATACAGCATTACATTATGCTGTAGGTAGACTGAACCTTCAGTGAACTATACTTGCATCGTATGTTTATGTAGATACGACAACTCGGTCACTCAGGGGGGCACTTAGAGGGCCCGACCCCTATGAGGTGCCACCATGGTTGGCACTGAGCGGGAAAATCTTCTCTACCTCTTTCGTTAGGTCCTTTTATTACTCAATTCTTTCATATTTGCCAGTCTATGCTATCCGTGAGTCAGGATGGATTATTGTGAGAAATGTTGTTATTAAAATACCGATTACATATTTAAAATACTTCCAGTTTCAAATTCAATTGTTTTTTTTTTGTGGGGACAAAAACTATTCCGTCCCCCCTCTTTATAAAACGATGGGTTGGGGGCCCGCTGCACCCTGCTTCCTACGCCTCCTGCGGTCACTAACTTGTTTAATAGAGCCTTCCAACAACTCAAATCTATAGAGACTGGGATATGCAATATATCCACTGAAAAATGTTTAAAATCCAATTTACAACACTATGTTTAGCTTAAAGATAAAAGACATGACAGAAGATTCGCAAAGCAAATTTCAGTTACTAGAATACCAAACCTCCCTTCCAAATTCCATGTTTTGCTTATATTTTAGAGAAAAGGGACTTTGACAGGAAGGGCCAAAATGGTTGAGTGTGGGGGGGGGGGCACCATGGGGGCTGGGGGAGGGGCTTTGGGGCCCCAGTTATATAGTTAAAAAATGCCCTGGTGCACCTGGTGAAAATTTTTGTTTTGAGTACTTGACACTCACACCTCGTCCTGACTCTATTTAAAGTCCATAACTGGGAGTCTGGAGGGCATCTATAGCCCCTGACCGGAGTAGCAGCGAAACAGTGCATATATTGCACAGTTATGCGCAGGGGCGCCGGAAGCAATGTGAAGCGGGGGGGCGGCAACCATTTCAAAAGTGCACTTGCTTCTCAGCCATAATTTTTCCGTGAGCGGCAATATTTGTGAAAACTTTACTGTATGGATACTCGATTACCTGTGGCTATTATGGGTTGGCAAACTTCGACATTAATTTTGAACAATTTTATTCGTTGCACCAAGGTACAAAATAAAATCAGTAAACGGACGTATATTACTTGATTTGGCATTAATTTTACTGCAAATGTAAATTCCAATTCCTGTGAATAACGCACAAATTTCGAAGTGCTGTTTAGGTAAAAAGGGCAACTTGTTGCCCCCGTGCTGCCCCCGCACTGTTTGGGCAATGGGGGCAGTCGCCCTCGCTGCCCCCGTGACTTAATGGTGGTGGTTCTTCGGGTACCGGTACCACTTCTTCGTTGACAGGGTCGATGTCGTTAATGTGGAGAACCTTTGCCGCGTTCCAAGATGGCCAACGTGATTTACAAAGTAGCCATTCTGGGCCATCTTTCCAGAGGTTTGAAGATTTAAGTTGTTTTGAGTTGATGGATTTAGTGGGGCAATAGTTCCAGTGTGTTGCTGGAACGAGTTGTTTAATTTCTTGGACACGATTCGCAACAAACTGTTTCAGTGTTTTGTCGCTGTTTAACCAATGTAGAACGATTTCGCTGTCTGACCAAATATAGATTTCTAAATTGGAATACCTTTGTTCCAAGGCTTGCTTGACAAAACTTGCTAACCGAGCTGCAGTTAATGCGGTCATAAGTTCCAACTGTGGTAGAGTTAGCTGTTTAAG